AGATGGTTCAAAACCAACTTATCTATTGTTTGAATTTAAATTCTAAAGGACTACCTCTATCTTTTACATTCCTATCTATTGGCCAATTCTCCGATTTTTATCCCGTATTTACTATTTGAATTAGGCCGAGATTCTTGGTCAACTCATATGCTATTTCCATACTAGAATTTTTGAATACCCGGCTCGGCTATCTCCTTATCTTGCGAGGACCAGGCTTTTAACCGACTTATTATGCTTGGTTAGCTATCAACAGTTTTTATTTAAATTTGTGGTTTTTGTGTCGTCTCTTGTTAGACATACGAAGATCGAAATCAACATCATACTCATTATATTGATACCCACACTAGAGGCAAGTGACATTTTGAAGGAGCTGAAATTTAGTTCTTATGGAGCTCAAATTCGTCTTCCTTACGGAGATTTATGCACGGAAATCGAAAAGAGTATACTTTGGAAATTTATATTCTAATAAATGGTTTAACTGATTTTTTTTTATTTTGATAATTTATTTTTTACCTCAATGTTAATATCTCAATGTGGTTATAATAGTTACTCTAATATTTACTCATTAATGAATATTATTATTTTAACCACAAGATATTAATCCAACGGTTGTAATAAATTGAATAGTCAATAAAAAAAAATTAATGACAATTAATGAAATTGAAATCTTTTCATGCCACATCATTAAATTTCTATATTTGAAAGTGACCACTCATGAAAACGTAACTATTAAAAATTCATCCATATGATAATTTAACAATATTAATTCAACGGTTGTAATAAATTAAATAGTCAATAAAAAAATTAATGACAATTAATGAAATTGAAATATTTTCATGCCACATCATTAAATTTCTATATTTGAAAGTGACCACTCATGAAAACGTAACTATTAAAAATTCATCCATATGATAATTTATTCTAATAATTTATTTGTTACATCAATTTTAATATATTTAAGATCTATAAATGTAATGCTCGTTTCACTTGAATGAAAGATAAAAAAAAAACCTAGAGAACAATATATTGATTGAGTTGATGGATAGCATATCGTCTTTTGGCTGTTTTACAGATTGCCTAATCATAAACTTTAAGGAATTATTTGTATGGCTCTAAATTTAGGACATTTTGTGATGAGTATTGTTGTTGCGTGTTTTTTATTTGTCTGACGTAACAGATTCAATTAGATTAAAGTATTATGTTTTTGAAATGGATTAAAATAATTAGTTTGGTAGAACGTTATCACCGTAAAATTATTTGTTATGAACGCTGACTGTGACTCTGCAAGTGGGGAGTTGGAGCATCAACAGCAAAGCATCTAAGCATCATTAATACTCCATCGCCACAGAAAGACCAACCGTTTCTTTGTATTAAGAAATAAGAAGAGAATAACTCTCTTATTCACGAAGGAATTAAACGCATCCATTACAATGAATTATATCATGCCGGAATTTCCATTCTCATTCGTTTGTTTTTGCAAGGTTTCTAGTATTTTACAAATGTTCATGCTATGTTCTTGACCAAATCATTCGTTTAACCTAAATTTACTAACTTGAGAGCGTTCATTTAGTGTTAAGACGTAATTTTGCTCAAATACAATAAATGTTTAATAGAATACAATTTAAATCTAATAGTTTAAAAACAAACACTATATATGAAAGGCATTTTGAAGTCACACCACCAATTCAGTCTAATAATTCACGGTCTATCTATAAATTATTAGCTAATCATGTGACTCAATACCAAGAATTTGACATTCTTGTATGCTTATCTAGTTGGCCATGAAGTTCTAATTGAATACACCTTTATTGCTAAACAAACGCAGTCACTGCTTCCACGTTGGAGAGCCAGTACAAATTTAAAAGGGCTTATTACAGTCACAGGCCCTTTAACCAATGCAAATCATACCAACACCCTCCAAATTTAACGAAGACTAATAAGGTGTTTGGTACGAGGATTTGTATCATAGTATTTTTTTTTCATAAAAAATATACGTAAATTGATAATAATTTTAAATTTTAATTCTAAAATCATGAACAAAACGTGGTATAAATATCCTAGTTAACACCAGCCATTGACTAAAGAGCACCAAATCCCAGCCATCCACATTAGTTTTTTGTCAAAACAAAAAAAAAAGATTAAAATATCCCAAAAACGAGTATGCTTGTGCGCCCTCAACCTGTCGCTCCCAACTCGCGTCTCTGTCAACCTGCTCTCCGCCCAACCTGTGCCCCCGTCGCTCTCCTTGCCGCCCAACCCGTGTGAAAGGCCGCCATCCCCAACTCTCATCATTCCACACAGATCGCCTGTATCCCGTCAGCCCCACCACAGAGATCTACCACTCACAATCTGCGCCCCACTGCGAAAGCTTGCCGCTCCCAATTGTCATTTTTAGCATTATATATAGCTAAAAAGGTTTATTAATGTATAGGTATTTTTAGTATTTTTAAAAAATTTAACAGTCAAATTTTGGTCAATAATGACAGTCAACTAACAAAATGGGTCTCTCTGTGATTTTTTTTTAGTTAAGGGGTGTTTACATGATTTATTTTAATTAAAGGGGTGTCATTGTTATTTTGCTAAAATGCAAGGGATGTGAGTGTAAGAAGACCAATTTAAAAAGGGAAAGTCTATAGTAGGGAATGTACTTTCCCGGCCTAGGGTGAATATTCAGAGTCCTTAGATTAAACGGTAGAAAGGTATGAAGGAACACGGAAGTAAAATGAGACCACCCACGTGTGAATTTACAACGTATATTGTTAAAAAACAACAAAACCGATTAGATCTATTCAGCAGAAAAAAATAATAATAACAACAAAATCGATCTTCCTCCATGGTCGCCGGCCAGCATACAAGTGGAGCTCCAACGCGCTCTATTCTTGCCATCGGCAACTCGGCCGCCGCACGTCACCGCTGTCGGATCTCATCCCCAGCACCACGCTTTGAGCCCCTCGTCCGCCCGTCGCTCCTTGCCGTTCGCCCTCCCTACACCGCTTGTCGATGCGGTGGAGTTGACCGACGCTAGGCCAGGGTTTTGCTGCACGGCCAATGCTGAGTCGGTTGGTACAGTTGTTGATGACGGAGATGCGGCAGATCGGTGGGAGCAGGTAGAGTTTGTCGCGACTTTGTGGGGGTGAATGACGGTGTTTTCGGCCGAGATCCGCCGAGAGAGTTGCAGGATTTTGAGCATCGTCATTTTTTGATCGTGGTGATACGGGCAATGTCGTCACCGGAGACCAAATACGGTGGCGAGTGCGTGACACGCGCGGAGTCGGGCGGCCGTCTGTGGTGGAGTTCAGCTGGAAGGTGTCGCCGTGTTGTGTTCTCTTGCAAAATTAATTTGTTTTCTTTTTTTTTTTGAAATTTGAAATTAAGTTGTGTAATTATGGCTCGTTTAGTTCTCTGATTTAAATTTTTAATTTAAATTAAGATATAATTTTATATGAGAGTTTTTTACTGTAATAAAAAAATTAATATGACTGTTTTTAAGAATTTTTTACTTAATAAAACTTGAATTCTAGACAATGAGGCATAAATTTGAACTTTGTAAAAATTGTGAATTCTGTGTAATTAGTTTGAACTTTCTAAATTCTTGACCGGGAAGTCTCCCTAAATTTCAACAGCTCTTTCAGGATTTGTTCAGTTACATCTTTGAATTATAATGATTGAGTGTATATTTTAAGTTGAATTCGAGTTATAATTTGAGTTTATGTTTAGTTGTGTACATTTAAGTTATAGTTTGAGATGCAAATCTTTTTAAGTTTGTATTTAAGTAGGTCAAAATTTAAGTTTGTCTTTAGATGATATTTTAATAAAAATTTAATGATGATGGAAAATTTTAATAGGGTTCGTTGTGAGCGCGTATAAAAAAGAATCATGACAATCGAAATTAAAATAAAAACGTTATAGTATTTTTAAGAATAAAAAAAATATTATTCATTAACTTAAATTTGAGTTAAAGAAAAAATTAAAATTCAGATTTTAGCTCTAAACTCAAGTTAAAATTTAAATTAAAACTCAAATTCAAATTTAAATTTTATAAAAAAATATAAATTTTTAAAAAATTATAACTTGAGATTAAAATTTAGTTGAGTTCCTTACGACTTGAAGATATTAGACCACGTGATACTATGACTGTTAGTTCTGGTAATGATGGAACTGGAGTTCCTTCGACTAGTGAGTGAAAAAGGCAAATGTTGGTTTTCAGAATTTGGGTCAAGTTTGTTTTGATTAAAGAAAAAAAGCTGTTAGGGGATGATTCTCCGGTGTGGGTTGAGCTTAGGTCCCATGGTGGAGAAGGGAAGAAGAAAAACTAAGATCTGCTTTTGTTTTTGTTTTTGTTTGTTTGTTTTTTTTAAAACTAATGTTATTATAATTATGTGTATGAGGTTTTATTTTAGTTTGGTATTCCTCCGTCTCTTTTTACCGTTAAGTCTTTGATAAACGGTTCTAAGTATGACAACACAAATTTCGTGCTATTTGTTTTATTAATTTAGTTTAATTTAATTTAATTTAAACAATGAACATAGTTTAAATTTGTTTAAATTGACGTTTGATAATCATACAATTTAAATTATATTTTTTATTTAAACGGAGTTAAACGACTCAATGTAGAATTTAACTCCCTTTTAAATTCAATCGTTCAAATTATTTTTAAACAATAAAAAATGTTTAATCTCTTTACTTTTTACACTTATTAAACATAAATTTAAATTTTATATTTTATTGAAATTAAAATTAAACCACAAAATTTAAAATTTTCTATTCAAATTAAAAAGTTCAAGTCAAAATTTAAACCTAGTGTTTCGAAAGCTCCAGCTATCCACTCCCCATTATATCACATCCTCTGTCTTGAGTCAACAACATCACCATTTTCACATCCTCTGTTGAGTTAACAACATCACCATTTTCACGGGAGTACTATGCGCTCCATGCATACCACACCTCCGACATTTACCTCTTTTTCAATGAAGAAGAGAAAACCTCGCAAGCAATTCTAAATGACAGTTTCACTCTCTTCACACATCATCATCATCACTGCCTTCATATTCCTGTTTTTAACAGTTGTCGACGGCCTCGGCTCTTCGTCGACGGCTGCGGTCGTCTACGGAAACCGTGCCGTATGTGGCATTGTTGCCGGTGAGCCCACACAGAGGATACAATGCTACCAAAACAACCAAATCATCTCAGTTCAGCCCAAAGTTTCCTTCCAAGGAATCTCCGGCGGCAGCAGCTTCTTCTGTGGCCTCAGGCGCGGCGGCTTCAGCCTGCTCTGCTGGGACACCGGCTCATCGAGCTCCAGTTTTCGACCGAAGCGCATTTACTACAGCGACACCGTCGGTTTGACTGATCTGACGGTGGGCGATGATCACGTTTGCGCGAGAGAGGTCGACACCGGCGTTGTTAGGTGCTGGAGAGGAAGAAAATCTGATCATGATGGTGATCTGTTTGCTTCGCCTGGGGAAGCGTTGAAGTTTAGTAAGATTTCATGTGGGAATGGTTTTGCGTGTGGGGTTTTGAAGTATGGTAGCAGAGTCAAGTGTTGGGGTAATAGAAGAGTTGATGTTCAAAATGAGATTCAGTCTGGGTTTGGAAATCTGTCCATGTCAAGCTTAGTCGCTGGAGAGTCTCACGCTTGTGGGTTGACCACAAATGGCAGTTTAGTCTGCAAAGGGAACAACGATTCCGGGCAATTAGACGTGCCTAATTATTCAAGTTCTTCAGCTTATAACGAGTTTTCTAGTCTTGCATTAGGTGCAAGTTTCACTTGCGCAATTAGGAGAAGGAATGGATTGGTTTCATGCTGGGGAGACAAAAAGAGATTTCAATCCTATGTTGATGTTATTGGCAATGTGTCATTTGAGTTTATCGTCGCGGGATTGGATTTCGCATGCGGGTTGATAACGAGTAATCTATCTTTGACTTGTTGGGGACCCGGGTGGTCTAACGCCAATAAAAGTTATGATCATGATCTTCCAATTGGAATGGTCATTCCTGGCCCGTGCGTTGAATATTCATGCGGTACTTGCGGCATTTACCCTGATTCGGAGACTCTTTGCCATGGTTCGGGACATATTTGCAAATTGTGCCAAATTGAGCAACCATTTGCTGCTCCACTCCCTCCAACAGATGACAGTACTACTCCGTCTCCATTGCAACCTGCTTCTCGGGCGTCAACAACCAAGAGGAGGCTTTTAATGGCATTTGTGATTGTTGGATTAGTAGGTTGTTTCATAGGCTTTTGGAGCATTGGCTTTTTTCTATGGACTCGTTTTTCGAGCAAGGCAATTGAACCCAACACTGCTCCGGAGCCTAATTTAGATGCCGATGTCAAGAATGCGTTAAGTTCTTCCACCGAGCCAAATTTTCGAACAGTTGGTCGGCAAAGAAGCGGGTCCTCCAAACCCGAGACATTCTCGTTGTCGGTACTCGCCACTGCGACTAACAACTTCTCGCTGGAGAACAAGATTGGCTTCGGAAGCTTTGGGGTCGTCTACAGAGGCAAACTCGACGACGGCCGAGAAGTCGCCATAAAAAGAGGACAACTACAAACCATCTTTCAGGAGAAAGAAAGCGCTTTCGACTCAGAACTCGCTCTGTTGTCTCGGCTTCACCACAAGCATTTGGTGTCGTTGGTGGGTTTCTGCGAGGAAAACGACGAGAGGCTCCTTGTCTACGACTACATGATCAACGGCTCTCTTCACAGCCACTTGCACGACAAGAACAACATCAGTACTATCTTGAGTTCTTGGACAATGAGGATCAAAATAGCGTTGGATGCAGCGAGAGGAATTGAGTATCTCCACAACTACGCGGTTCCGCCGATAATTCATCGCGACATAAAGTCGTCGAACATACTTTTGGACGCGTCCTGGACGGCCAAAGTCTCCGATTTCGGGTTGTCATTAGTCGGTCCTGAATTAGGCCAACGTGGGAAATATGTCACGGCCAAAGCGGTCGGTACAGTCGGTTACATAGACCCGGAGTACTATGTCTTGAACGTTTTGACTACAAAGAGTGATGTGTATGGGCTTGGTGTGGTGATGTTGGAGCTTTTGACGGGGAAGAGGGCGGTGTTCAAGTGTGAAGAGGACGACGGTATTGGCGTGACTAGCGTCGTCGAGTACGCGGGGCGGTACTTATTATCGGAACGGGGCGAGGTGGTGAAGATGGTTCTAGATAAGAGGGTAGGCTTGCCGGAGGCGAATGAGGCTGAGGCTGTTGAAGTTTTGGCTCACACTGCTATGAGTTGTGTGAGCCTTGAAGGGAAGGAAAGGCCCGGTATGGCAGATATCGTGGCCAACTTGGAGAGTGCTTTCTTGCTTTGCCAGGACAACTCTGGTTGCTAGCTTCTGATCTACTGCAAAATTTTCTTCTTTGCTATAAGATGGAAGTCTCATGGTCTTGAATTCTTCGAATTCTTTCCTATAATGTTATTTTTTTTTCATCTGGGTTGATGTATGTTGATTATCGATGTGAAGTTTTTTCCACTTTTTGTAATTGTAAGCAGGTTAGTGCTTGTAAATACCAATTTTCATTCATTCATGTCTGATACATATGACGTGATTTATAACAAGTTAAAAGTTGGTAAAAATATACACAACGTTACTTGGCACTTCACATAGTGATTATCTTATTGCAACACTAATAGTGTTTTGTTTTCTTATATAGGAACCAAAAGAATATCAGATATTTGCATTCATGTCTTATAAGTGATTATTAATCAGTACTATACCTTGAATTTGACCTTGTTCTGTTAATCAAGAAAACTTTGAAGGCCTGATACAGGAGGCCATGAAGATTAATATTTTAAATCAGTCGTTAGAGATTCTAAAGCGACATCAGTATATCATTTCCATGTTTGTGCATTGTTGTTGAATCTTTTAATACGTTGATGCACATCAAGCTGATAATCTGAGTGGAAACAACCTGTATAATTAATTATAAACAGGGTCCGTTGACTTGAGGGTGTTTTTTTTTTTTTTTTAAATTATTTATTTATTTATAAATAAACAATATCCATGCTGTTTGCCAAATTTTCTATGCAGGCTTAGTTAACAATTCGTTGAAAACTATTATAAATTAGAGTGGGGTTTTTAGGTAGGTCAGTTAGATTAAGATTTTTTTAAAGCAAAGTAGGCATTGAAAAAAATGCATCAGTAGACATAGGGCGGTAAGACATTGACTACATTGAGTTTGAGATCAGCCCCTCGTGAATGAATGAGTTCATAAGGCGGTTGCGGCGACCGTTCGATTAATCATGTACAGGCTGGAACTCGTAAGCAACAAAAAAGTGCCAAAGCATGTATTATTATTATAATAACAATAGCAATTACAATAAAGCATATTTATTGATGGGATAAATTACACGTTTTCCTATAACTATATGCCTCCTTACAAAATGCCCCCTTGAACTTTATTTTTGGCCTTTCCCCCCGCCGAATTTATGCAACTCTTGCAAATTTTCTCTCTCTATTAAATTCTTATTTCTGTTATTGTTACTAGCCGTTGATGAACCTCTAAGGTTCTTTAGGTCAAGTAAATTAAGAGAAAGTTAGTGAAGTAAAAAAAATGATAACTCTTATTGCTTAATTGCACTTCTGTATGACTAAAGGAGAAGGAGCTAACATATTAATTGTCTACTAAAAATAGTTTAACGACACTCATTATTGTGTGATATATATTATTTCTGTTAAAAATCTTAAGGAGTTTTTTTTTGTTAGTTTTTGCATTTCACATGATATTTTCTGCTACAAATTTAGTTAAGGGGGAAAATTTACAAGAGTTGTTGAAGTGTTTTTTTTTGGGGGGGGGGGGGGGGGGGGATTCATGAGGTATTTTGTAACAAAACCTATAGTTTAGGAGGAAAACGTGTAACTTATCCTTGTTAGTGTTAATTTCTTAATATGGCCCTAAGGGTAGTCTCACTTTTGCCTTTACAATTTAAAATGATACAAAACTAACCCCATAACTTTTTATGTGTTGCAATTTTATACTTTGGTAAATGAAATAACAATTTTTTACTAATTTTAATCACATGCGGATCATTTGACTAGTTGGTAAAAGAAAATATAAAATAGCAATGATGTTCCGAGGCTTGCAAACAAAGAAAAAAAAAAGGCAACTTTTAGGGTTGGAACAAGAAAAAAGTTCTTTTTTTTTTTTGGTAAATTTTTTAGATTTTATTTTATTTTTTGCAAATTTATATAAGGCCCTTGATAAAGTATTGTAGAAAGAGCATGAACTAGATTCTGGAGACCATGTCCTATTCTTTTTAGCCATTAAGGCAATTCTGGAGACCACTGAAAAATAGAAAGAGCATGAACTAGATTCTAATCATCTATTTGAATTAGCGTTCCCCCACCTGTCACGAGACCTACTTAAGGTTTCGAACTCTGAAAGGATAAAAAGAGAATCCTAACAAAGGCATCTTCATCACCACACCACAATCCTCGGTGGTTATGTGCTTCAATGACAAAAACATCAGAAGTGCAACATATGAAAAACTCAGGGGTTAGTTTTATGCCCTTTCGAATTATTACCCCTACTTGTCAAGGGTCAAAATTGAAATCCAACTCTTTATTTTATTAAAAAAGATGTCAGTAGAGACTTTTCATCACTTATAACGAGCTTCCTTGTGATTTAATTAGCATATCTAAAGACCTAGGTATACAGCTAAACGCTGTTTATCATATCACAAGGTAAAGAGATTACTAATTAGGGGTGTTGAAAATCCATGAAAAACTTACTCAACTGACCAGCGTTTACGGACATGGTGTCGTGATGTTGGAGCTTCAGACGGCGCGGTGTTCAAGAGTGAAGACAACGATAACGGCATGCCAAGCAACGCGGGGCAATACTTATTATTGGAACGTGAGGTGATAAAAAAGGTTTACGATTGTAAACAATTGTAATACAACGTATTAATATATCGCAAAACCAAACAATGTGTTGTACAATACTATACAATATAATAAATTCAATACAACTCAAAAGACCAAACATGCCTTAAACACTGAAAAAGTATTTGGAGTGCTTCCCATTTCACCATTAAATAGATGAGTGTTTCCCATTTCACCATTAAATAGATAAGTAAATACTGTAATAATGAAAACCAATTATGTACTTTACATTCCGTTTTAACATTACATTTTCCATGATATTCCTCTTTACAGTTTTGAAAATCAGCCCTTGAAGTAAACATCGTTGCGGTGATCAAAGGAAGAAACATCTGTTCTTACTTCTCGTATGGTCTCGGTCTTCAAGACCTCTCAAGAATGATCTGATTGCAAGATGGTCGGAGGCAAATGTCATGAATGACGCGAAGATTATAACTCCAGTAATCATCGACGCAAACCTGTTTAGAGACCAGAAAAAGAATCTCAATAGTTTTCATAAGTTGTTCCAAAAGCCTTACGAACTTAAGGGGGATCAGAAATCCTTCAACAGACATCAATATGATAAAACACAATTACCTTGAAAGGAGAGTATTAAATCCTAGAAAACATGGTAAAATTGGGGCAGCAAGAGCCAAAAATGCCATTCCCAGCCAATAATACCATGGAGAAATATCACATGACGATGCAAGTCGCTGATGACCTGCAACAAGGCGTGTATTAACTTCACATTGCTTAAAATATTAAGTGAAAAAAAACAAGGGAGAAAGTGAGTTACTAAGTAAAACAATGGCCATGGATATAACAAATACTAATTGGTATATCGATGCAAGAAATGAAAAATGCTATTGTCGAGAATATCCGGATATTTGATTTCTGATTTTCTTGGATTCTTCGACTCGTAAACTCATAATGATACTTGCACATATGTGGTTTTATTACGGGATTAACTCTGGGGAATATTTCCTGATCCAACTGTATATTCAATTTTATATTAGCCTAGAAATTAGGAATATATCTAGACTTCGTAAAAAAAATAGAGACGTGGATTGGACACAACACCTCGTGATGGAACGAGCTATAGACATACAGTTAGATAATGCATGCAACCATTTATATAGATATTTTTTTAGTAGCCGAGTCCAATTAACTTGTACATTTTTTTTTTAATTAGTGTAAGGCCGATATTCTAAATGCTCATTTGATGTGTAAAAAGTCATGCTGTAAGACAACGAGTGTTTAGAATGACTACTAGAGCAACAAACCTTTTCCGGAATCATATTCAAGCGATTCGGAATTACGAGAGGCAGGGGATCCTGATTGGACTGATGTTGCCTTTCCCCATTTGTATATCAAATGAAGATATCCTCCAAACAAGAGAAAGAAGATGGTGAATGCCCACTCAAACATCAAAAGCAAACCAGTCCAAGGCGTCACTTGTCGCGGCACAATTGCAAGAGCAAGTGAAAGGGCTGCAAGAGCAGCCATGAAACTGAAGATCACCGAAACCCCACCTATGTAAAAAGGAACCTTAGCCTGCAGGCCATTAAGTATAGACGGTTTGTTAATTACAAGGAACAAATTCGCTTTATAGACAAAAATTTTAGAAATTAATCTCATCTGTGCTCTTCACTTTAATATTTGAATTTTAACTCTCACTTTATCTTTTGAATTAAATTCATCTTACTTAATCATTTCTATTAAAATTTATAATGAACAGATAAGTAATATGGTTTGACCATTTACGTTGGATTTTATATTTAAATCCAACAGAAGAAGACTACATGACTTCACTTAACCCGTTTTTTACTTTACTTTCGCTTTTAATAGAAATAGGACTTTCTTTAAGGGTTAAGTAAGACTAATTAAAAATTTAATGGGCTAGAGTTTTTAAAGTTCACACAACATTGTGAAAATGATCTTAAGTTAGAGAGTGGATAATCCAATATTCTATAACAAGCTACTAACTTATGCAACCAATTCGACAGAGTTAGTAACACAGTGTGAGAGAGATATATATATTTTCTTTAAGAAGCGTTGAAAAATATTAAAATGAGCACAAATTCAAAATTATAAAGGAATTCTAACCTGATGGTTTGGATTACCAGTGGATGATGTAGAAACACCAGCATATGCATGTGGTCCAGCATACCGGATCTTGAAGTATATATGTCTGATATGGTCGTATACTGTACTAAAGCACTCCCGTGTCTGCAACAAATGTTAATTATTATGTCAAGAGAGCCAACTATAATTGTTCTAGTGATTTTCTTCAAGATTTAGGCTTAAAGAAGAAGAATTTTCCAATTGCATACCTGGAGAAGTGATCGATAGTAACAAAAGAAAAAAGCACAAAATGGTAGCAAAACAAGAATTTTGATGAGAACATTTTCATATGGAGTGCTGCCTCCTCCAGTTCCATTAAGGGATTCCGGAAGCTGTAGCCTAATATTCTGCAAAACGCACAAACGAAACAAAAGCAAAAGTAGGCCATATATCAGAGATGAAATGAAATCCTCTTAAAACTGAGAACAGATCATAATGAAAATAATAAATAAGATTAGTTTTTTTTGCGCACCAATGTCCCCCCTATAATTTTCTTATTTTGATAAGTAATCCTTTTACTTCTAACTTTAGCAATTTTCCTAATATAGTTGTAAGTTTTAGCAAATTTCACTACAATTGACGGAATGCAGTCAGTTGTAAGTTTTAACTAATGAACACTAATTGCAATAAAATTTCAAATTTAAGGTCCTTTTCCGCAAAGTTAAAAGTTCAAAATCCAAATTGTCAAAAAGTAAACCATAATTTATTTCTTAATTATTATTTTTTTATTTTGTAACCTACACTTAATTCCCGTCCCATCAACACCATTTCCTGTGCTTCTCATCTGTACTTCTCATCTGCACCAGTTACAACCTCCGTCTTGGCCTCACCTCCCTCGTTCTCCTCTGCTTCGAGTTTAATTGCCTGTGTTTTTTTTTTTTTTTGTGCTAAAATGTACAAATTTTTTTTTTCTAAAAAAGTGCAATTTTTTCCGATCATGTTCTTGTTAAAACGTGCATGTGAGGCGCACACGGTCCATTTCCTTTAACGTTTTAAAAGTATAAGGACCACTTTTGTTACAAGACCACAAATGTAGTAGATAATTGGCGCCAAAAACCACTTCCATTCTACTTCTACCAACCCACCAACTTCAAGAAAAAGACAAATCACATGCATGTTTGAACACAAAGCAAAACATTGGATAAAGAAAAAAAAAAAAAAAACATAAGCAAGAGATGAAGAACAAAAATAAATTGTTGCAAATGTTGACAAATGATGAGGACAAATACCTGCCAGATATCAACAGGTTTCAAAAGCCAAGCTGCCCACCAGTCCCAAGGTTTAAGAGGACCAATTGTATAGTGCAGTACACTGATTTCACTCTCATTTACTTTCCACTGCATGATGAATTACCAACACGTAAATAAGAAGGTTAATTATATATATATATATATAATAATAATTACCGTGCATATATATAAATGACCCGTTTAGTTCGCTGATTAAAATTTTTAATTTAAATTAAAATGTGATTTTATGTGAGAAATTTTTACTGTAATAAAAAAATTAGATGTGACTGTTTGTAAGAATTTTTTATTATAGCAAAACTCGAATCAATTAAATAAACGGGGCCAAAATTATGACGGTAAAATGGTAACTTCTTGTTCATGTTTTTACATGAGTATACCTTGTTAGAAATCATGTATTGACCAACATCTGCATTGAATATAGTTGGGAGCCGCTCCATTTCAGGAACTGGTTTAGAATTCACCACTTCTTGGGGTAAATTTGGATCAAAAACACGTGCGTTGATAAATCCGGAGAAGTACGCATCTAGAAACCCCTGATCCCCTGCAAAAAGTTGACCGCATACATCCAGAATATTTTTAACCCCATTTTTACGTGTCAAATATTTTAATAGGCTTGAGCACCTTTTTTTAAATTTTATTTTATTTTTTCAGAAAAAAAGGCCGGCGGCAGGCAGAGACGTATTTAACTTATTAGGAATCTTTATAGCATTTTCCTTGCGAATAGGAGTCAAACAAGAAGAATAAGAAAACAGTGAACGTGTCGACAAATCAAGAATTACTGTTTTATTACCTCCGGTGTAAGATTCCAGAGTTTTCACTTTGCTGATCATGTCATCGAAAACTTTTCGAGATGGTTCTACTACCAAAACGCCAGCGTTAAATCTCTCAGAATGCTTCAAGATGGCGCAGAATTTTCCACATTTAAACATATTCTCAATATTTCTGACCACAATAGTGTCCGCGTCTAGATACACAACTGCAATTAAATTCAATATTGGGAATGATTAGCAAAAAAAAAAAAAAATCAATATTGGGAATGATTAATGAAACATTTCTTTTCAAACTATTTACTTTCACCAAACCCAACTTAAAAGAAGAAAATTGTGTTATTTAAAAATAAATTAAAATAAAAATCTTACCTTTCTTGTAGTTAGTCATGTTGAAAATTCTCAACTTTGTATATACACCCCATAATCTCCTTGGCCGTACTTCATAATTTGGATTTTCAACTAATCCAACCTTCGTCACTATCCACCCATCGGCCTGAAAAGCGAAAAGAAATTAAAAAAAGAAAAATTACCCATTAAAATCAGTACAACCTCGGAACAAAAAAAAAATGTCCATAAACTCCAAACTTAGTTTGTTTCATCCAATCCTCAACCACCGATAAACAATAAAAAAGAAAACTTCTTAATTCTTATAATAGTTTCTAATCCCTATCTATTAAAAGTAAAAAAAAAAAAAAAAAAAAAAAAAAAAAAAAAAAAAAAAAACATATGATTTGAGATGAAAAAGAAGAGCTAACAAAGAGAGAAAATCAATGAATTCATTCATTTACAGAGCCGAATACTTATTCTTGTAAGGGCAAGATAGGAACACCAAAAAAAGAAAAAAAAAAACTAACCTCAAGAAGTTTCATGGCATAATCGGAAACACCATCGGTGACCAGAGCCACCATGTCCTTGGTGGAGCCGGTGTCCTGTATCGATTTTCCGAGGACTCGGGCACCCAACAAGAAGTCATTTCCGTACAGAAGCGTGACGTAAGCCTCCTCGGTTTTCTGACGTGGCAATCCGAAGATAAGTCCGTTGAACGGAATATTCAAAACCAGAGAAAGTGTAACAAGCACGAACCATGCCTCAAGTCTCATTATGACTTCTCTCCAATTCACAAAATATTTTCTCCTCCGAAGATAATGGCAATCTCTCTTAACACGGATGATTTATTATAGCTCAAAGAGTTTTTTTTTTTTTTTTTTTTCCCTTTAATTAAGTCGGAAATAAAACTGGCCTTGTCTCTGACCTTATTATTTATATTTGTCTGCCTCCTGGAGTGTCGTCTACGTCGACCTTGTTAGAATCGGTCAAGGTTTGAAACTTCAAATTTCCGCGGGGAAATTTCAGCAGACTTGGAGAATCTTCTACGACGTCTAAATAGAATATCGGAATATCTTTAGCCCAAAAAAAAAAAAAAAAAAAAATTTATTAGTACAAATGGTCCCTAACGTGCAGTTTGGTCTCTAAATTTTTTTTGGGCAAATTGATCCCTAATCTTTTAAAATAGATATAATCTAATCTTTTTTGTAAGATCCGTTTAAAAACTAACGGACCCATTACGTGACTGTCTTTTTAACTAAAATGACTGAAATGTCAAAAAAAACACAATGTTAGAGAGAGAGAATGTTTGCTGTTAAAATGTTTTCTTAACGAAAGTGTCGTGGAAAATTTTTCAGGATCCCAATTCCAGGAAAGCTATGATAAGGAGCTAAAATCACTGAGAAATGAAGAAGCTGTAAGTTATAATTTCAAAGTTCCATGAAGTGGTTATCATTGCTCAGTGTACGAGCTTTATTTTTTCACGCAAAGCGCAAGTATCCCCATTTGATGTATTCTTGTTATAACTGTGTTTTAACAGTATTCAGATGAGGATGACATGAGTGTTGATGAAACACAGTCAATAAATGAAAATACTCAGAACAATGAGGGCAAGTTCCTGACTAGCTCTGCTGTTGGTTCTCTGTGTCAACTAGTTTCAGAGCAGCAAAGTCTGTCCGCCCTAACTAGTCTGTTAAATGGATATCGGCCTGCATGTCACTATGGAGTTGAATCGAATCTTAACGGTGGATGATGAATTTTTTTTTTTTTTTTTTTTTTTTTTTGGCATTTTAGTCATTTTAGTGAAAAAGATGGTCACATGATAGATTAGGTGCATTTTCCCGTTAGTTTTTGGACTGATTTTGACAAAAATGATTAAATTATAACTATTTTAAAAGGTTGGAAATCGATTTAAAAAAAAAATTAAAGACAAAACTGTTACTTATAAATAAATTGAGGATCATTTGTGTTAATAATCTAAAAAAAAAAAAAAAAAGAATATCAGAATAATACTCGTCAAATTTCCATAAACGTAAGACTTTTCAAGAAAATGCATCAGTTTGATTTAGTAAAAAGTGTAGGGCAATATGTTGAAATTTCAAGGAAACATCGACAATACATCCATGAAACTCTTGTAAATTCCGCATGCGCTATAATACTCTTTTTTTTTTTTTTTTTTTTTTTTTCCAAATCTTATTTTTTGATATAGTCTAAATCAATGTATGAATATTTATTATTGTTACTATAATTTTCAATTCAACATATTTCATAAACAGACATACACATAATATGTAACAAACTACATATAAAATCCAAAATTGCTTAAATTAAGAAGGTGTTCCAAAGACTTTATAGTATGCTGTTAAATTTTAATAATTTAATTGATTTTCAATTATTTTATTTTATTTATAGATAAGTACTTATTATTTACTGTACTGTACTATATATTATCATTTCTTGTGATATTTATTACACACTTAATATTTAATAGATAATTTTATATAATTCATGTATTATTAAGGGATAAATTGACTGTAAAAAAGGGATGAGTGTGACGCCCCTCCTATGAGGCCGCCACTGTAACTTAAACTTTAACTTGTACTTACTGGGGTTTCTTAAAATTTGCGGAACATTTTTTTTTTAATATAAGAAAGAATACTTTCATAATTTGTAACAATAATTTCAAATAAGTGAATCACTAAATTTCTTAAAGCTTTTCTTAATTTCAGTTAAGATAAAACGTTCTAAAAATATCTTTCAAACAGAGCAGCATTTGAACTCTTATTTCAAATGCTCTTTAAAAGTCTTTCTAAAACTAGCCAATTCAATCGGGCCATTTAATTTTGACTTTAAAACGGATTTCGTGAGAAATCTTAAATTCAAGTACATCTTAAAGCCCTTTTAAAATCAATCATTTAAATCGTCATGTTTAAAATTTATTTATTTGTTGCATGCTCTGTTGCAACGTTCTAAAACTTAAATACTCAAAACGAGGGTTGTTAGCTACAACCTCGGTTTCTTTAACATACATATGTACCTATACTTTTTAAACATACATGCTTGAAACCTTTAAATCATATATACATATACAGGATTTTTCTTAAACTTCCTGCGGAAGATAACTGCGTGAGCGGTATCCATTCCCATCTCCACCATTCGGCCGCCGCTTGCCATTGCCCTTCAAGAATTGCTGATAGGTTTCTTACCTACAGCATGAACATATCTGATTGAGCTTTCGCTCAGCAAGTAGGAACTATATCTCACAAAATAACTGTAAGTACACATGAATAAATATGCATGAGCTGATTATGCTTAATTATGATGTCTTATCATAATCTTATTATCTTATCTTATCTTTCTTACTGATGGGCCCGAGTGCTCGCGTACCACTTGCGCGCAATCATCGGAACGTGAGGGTTTGCAAGGTCCCCCACGACACCGTGATTATAACTTGAATGCCTCCCTTGAGTCGGAGGACATTATTGTTATTTTCTGTTTCTCCCTTGTGGAGCATACCTCCCTTGTGGAGGCTGGTACGGCACTCAACTGATAATTATTCTTATAAGTTCCTCTTGACTTATTAAGGTGTATGCAATATGACATAGCAAAGCATACTATAACATAGAATGTACTCAAATACATATACTTCATGTGCACTGCTTAAGTGTATGCAGTATGATCTAGCATAGTATACATAATATTAAATTAACTCAAACACATATAATTCATGTGCGCTGTTTATGTGTATGCAGCATGACATAGCATCGCATACAATACTTAAAGCATAAACATGCATATATAACATGTGTAACTTTTTCTTTAAAAATCTATTCATACTGTAGGCGAGATTCCTACTTACCTGATTTACAGAGCTGGAATCCACTCTTCGCCAAACAGCCTATTCTCTTACTTGCTTACTTCTGAAAATGAACACCCATTGAGAGTGTGAAATTATCTGTCATTTGCTATTCTATTTTAGCAACTTATGAAGAAAATCTAACCCTTTACTTAAGGTATGTATTCCTTTCCTTTAATGAAGGATAATTTACTATAAGGATCAATTTATTAAATCCTCAAAATCTTATTTTCCTTAATTGCCATTACAAATTTGTGCTAAATTAATAATTATATTAATTATCTTATCCTTATAATAAGTCTAATAATTTAGTTAACTAATTTTGGTAATTAATTAACCATTTTATTCATATACTAAGTATACATAAGTTAGTTAATTAATCTTAGTAATTAATTAACTTCCTTAACAATATTCTAAGTCTTAGATAATTTAATTAATTAGTTTTAATAATAAATCAAATTATCATCCATAATACACTTTTAGTAAACTTTACTTTACCTCACTTTACGGGCTCATAATAGTGTTGAGGTCCATATTTACCGTCGTAAAATTAAGCGTCTAGCGTATCGTTTCTTTACGATTTTCGCTTACATGCTTATTTGAAAACCGTTAA